ATCAACCAAAGCTCCTTCTCTGCTTAGCAGTCTGGTTTAGTGCACCACACGGCAATCACCGCTGTGTTTCACATGAGGAGTGGTTCCTTAGTTCCACGACCACCGCCCCGACATCCATTTTGAGCGCGCGACATCACCTGATTTGAGTTCAGGTGACGAGTGATTCTCGCGCTCAAAATGGATGTTAGTGTCTTATATATGGTAGGTAGACATGTTATGGGGCGGTATTTGCTCGGGTCTGTGGAATCCCGGTCTTTAGGAACCAAATGAGTGATCCCAGTAGTGAAGAGGCTCGGGAGCGACTTTTGGTCGAGAGCCGCTTGAAACTGTCGGGCGAGCACAACGTGACACACCACGAACCCGTTCAGCCAGTAGTGATGTAGTCCGTCGAGTCCCGGACTTTTCCAGTTCGGAGCTCTACGGACCGCCTCAGCTACGTCATCCGGCGTTATGATGACGGGGTCCATGGGCGTAACATTCGCACACTGACTCGCCACAACTTCCGTCCAAGGGTCCTCGCTGTGGTTTACGGGCTCTGACCACAGGCCGCGCCAGAATCCGACAGTGTCGGCCTGATTCGGTGCTGGGCCCGTCCCACGTACCATTGGTGGCTTTAATGATTCATAGAGCCTCTTCTGATCACTCTGGAAGAGACGATTCTAGTTGAATCGTGTCGACCTCTCGGTATATCGTCGAATCCGCTTCCCCCAAGCAGCGATTCTCTGCTTCAGGTCGTCTATGCGCTCCGTCAGTTTTTGGGTTATATCCGGCTGGGACAAACTGATGTCCCAGCAAACGCCATCCTGACTGTGCGCACAATTCTCGGCCTATTATTGCCCGACCTGAAGCTTATCAGCCTGCCGATGAGGGCCCTTGCCTTTGCGATACGATCCTCAATCCTTCTTCTCCAGGCTGGGATGGCGCTACTTTGTCTAGTAGCGCGTCCAGCCGTGGGAAGTTTGGCGCCAATAATACGGCAAACTGCCGTAAAGACGGCGGCGCCAAAAAGAATTGAGTCCGTCTCGCAAAGGTCCCGGCTGGCTTCCAAATAGGTCACCAGCATTGCGTTGAGAGCCCTCACGACAGCCCGGTTCCGCTTGCTTAGGGGTATACGGGGAAGTCGCGTTCCATTCTCGAGAGGCGTACTGCACGTTTCCCTAATCGCCTCTTCCAATATGCTCGTTGTTTGCTCTTGTTCCTGGGCGACTATTCCATCGTCGCCTGAGCCAACAACAAGGAGATCTACGGCGGCATTTACGTGTGCGGGTTGCTCTGCAACTCATAGAGCCGCATCTCCTGTCGTAGTATTTTCATTCTACAAAGGAATAGCCTCACGTCGTAGCCATTCGAGTTCGGCGTCATCAAATAATTTTGAGGGCATGATGTACCGAACTCGGTCTGCAAAGTTTTTCTCGGTAACGGTAATAGACGGCTCCAGCTCAGCAAATAGTCGATGCATCCTAGCCCGATACGCAAAACCTCCAATTTCTCCCCCTTTCGCCCCAAAATACGCCCGCAATGCATTGCAGTTCATTTAGATTACTACTGTTTACTGCACGTAACATGGAGAATAAACGAAAAATTACTTGCATACTGTCAAGGGCGGATCCAGTAGAGGCGTACAGGGGCACGTGCCCCCCCCCCCCAGATGTGGTTCAAATAAAAAAAATAGAGAGATTAATACGAATGCTCTTAAATAACATTTGTTTTATATATGTACTACATTATTTACGTATCACAAGTAACATTGATAGAAAAAACGTGTGTAAAACGTTTATCAAACAATGTGATGGAGGAAACAACATGAGTGTTAAAAAAAAGCCGCACATAACCAACATTTTTCACCCATTATACAAACCACCGACTCAACTTAGCAGAAATATATCAGTACACCCAGCATAAGAAATGCTGTGGGAGTTATCTCAAATACACCTTTTTTAATGAAGAAGGAACTACTGCAGGAGCAGTGGGGAGGAGCGATTGATCAAAGCTGGTTGGAGACGTGCGAGTTTCTCTATCATTTTTTCACAGTACATATCTGCAGTAATGCTCTTCCCGCTTGGTAAGAAGCTGTGATGAAACACACCGGCGCTCGAGCACCAAACAGTGACCGTTACTTTTCTAGGGGTAAGGATTCATTTAGGGCATTGTTTAGGTTTTTTGTTGCAGGTAACAATGCAGTTCAAAATTCATTCGTTTGTGTGCCTGTTGAGCAGTGCAAAGCTCGTCTCGACGTATACTTCGCTCTGGCGATCATTGAGTTCGTGGGGCATCCATTTATCAAGTTTGTCTACCTTGCAAATTTGACGCAAATGGATCAATATTGTTTTAATGCTAATATCGAGAGCTATTGCTAATGCAACCGTAGATTGAGAACCATAATTTTCGAACTTCCACGAGGTTCGTTTTTCAAGTCGAAATTTCCAGAACGGAGGCGGGCAAACCAATGTAACTGGAGGCGCGTTTGTTTGTAGTATTCATCTACATCAGATTCCTATAAAACAGCAACGGCTCTACCAAATATAAAACTTTGTGACAATTATTGTGCACGTTTCATGCGAAAACCAGCACTGCCGAGCAATTTTTTCCACATTACGCCGGTTGAAGACATTTATCTTCGCAGCAGTAAGACTTAAAGATTGTCTAAACGGACTGCGTTTATTGCATCATCATCATCATCATCATCATTACAGCCCTTCACAAGTCCACTGCTGAACATAGGCCTCCCCCAAAAAATGCCACAAAGCACGGTCCTTTTATGTTTATTGCATATTCGTAAAGAAAGAGAAAAAAGAGATTTCTACAAAAATTAACGCTGAAGAAGTACTTGATATCTTCAGCAGAAAAAAATAAAACAAAGCTATCTCTAATAAACATGTAATATCTCATTATTTAATCTTTATTAGAAGTATTTTAACAGTTACATCTCTAATAAACATGTAATATCTCATTATTTATAACAGTTATTCATGTACTTTATTGACAAAGAATTGATCCAAAAAACAGCATAGTACAACACTATGAGGGACACTTGACCCATGGCCCATGTGCCCAGAAAGAAATCCTGGATCCGCCCTTGCATACCGTTTCCCATCGGAACATGCTCGGAGCTGACTAAAAATCGGCATTTTCATCGTAACACGTTTTGTTTCCCGTTTTTTCTTTTTCTACCAGAGTTAAAAAATATATAAGGTTCTACAATATATTAGACGCGTAAATTATTTTTCGGATTCGGTTGAAAAGTTAAAACTTAAAGTTACAGCCTAAATACTGTACTACCTAGTTTCTGAGAGGGTTTAAGGGAAAAGAAACGCCGCGCTGCTTCAATGTACGTTTGCGATTATTTTTTATTAATAATTTAAAATTAAAAATTTTGTACAGCCGACTTCAATATAAGTTATTTAAGAATAACTTAAAAACTATTGGTCTGACCTTGATCAAATTCATATGGGACCACACGAGAAGTACCAGCTTTCAAATAAAAAAAGAATCATCGAAATCGGTTCACCCAGAAAAAAGTTCTGAGGTATCACACTTAAAAAAAAAAAAATACGAAAAAAAAAAACATACAGTCGAATTGAGTACCGGCTCCTTTTTGGAAGTCGGCAGATTAGGCTACAGTTACCATATAAATTAATAGGAAAACTTCCAACCCTAAGGTTCAAAGAATAGAAGAAAAAAATGAAATTTTTTTAAACTATTTAGACCATATTCTAGTTGTTTCCTTAAACTTGGGCTAGGTTGCGTGTCTAAGCTATATAAGACCATACCAAATACCATATAGAAGACCTAAAAAAAGTTTAAACTAACACCAAGTCATCCGTAACCGACAACAGTAGTCAGTACAGAAATCTGAGCATCAAAACTAAAAATAAATAAAACAATATTTTTCTTCATAATATCTTCAAAATTATAAAAGAGTAACTAGAACACAGATAACAGTTATTTTATTATGTTAGTTGGAATTGTGTGAATTATTTTATTCACTGAAATAAATATTTAAACACAAATACACAGCACACACAATGCTTACTCTCGTAATATTCTCGAACGTAGGTACATAAGCATGTACACCTGCGTAATACATGCATGTGGATGACACTCACGAAGTCTATTCCAGTACTGGCAATTAATTATGAAATGATAACCTGCAGTATTGCTGACTCTATAGAATAATAATGTAAGGCAATAAAATAAACAAGCTAATTTATTTAAAAAATTTGTCATCCGAATTTCATCTATATTCAAAATTTAAAATTTCCAACTCATCTGGAAGTTAGATAAAAATCAATTACTAAATTCCACCCGGAATGACAGACAAACAAGAAAGTTACATAATAAAAACGTGTTGAAAAGTTTTATTATGTAACTTTCTATATTTATTTTACTTTCTATATTTGTATTTGCACTAAAGATATCTATGGGCCACAGCAACCACTTACCATCAGGTGGACTGTGTGTTCGCTTGTCACCCTTATCTTATAAAAAAAAACATGAAGGTCTTTTTCAGCCTCGCAGTTTGAGGTTTAAGGCTGTTTATTGTCACTAAGAAAACAGAAATATTTTTGAATTCAATATAGATTACTTTTACTTATAAATAATACTCATTGAACGTCATTCTTACGTTATATTACCACTTTATCGGAAAATAGCTCTGTCCTGGGAAAAACCAGCTTGAAACACCTAGCGTGATTTTTTTTAACAAAGAACATTTTACAATCATGATAAACGTAACACCTTAAATCCAACTTTACTAGACTACTTGCCATTAAACGAATACCATTAGTCCATAGAACTGTGGTAACTCAGTGGGTTAGCGCTCGCTGTAAATTTCGCAGTACACGAGCAACCTGGGTTCGAACCCCGCCGTTATCAATGATATTGTTAATTGCAATTTTAAGTGCTGAGGAGGCCTGTGCCTAGCAGTGAGACATATATATGGTGTTACTTTACTTTACTTTAAACGACCCATTAAAAACCAAGTATATTTATTTTTCCAGGAAATGTCGTCACAGGTGAAGGCCGTCACAACACTGTCAGTGGTGACGTCTTGTCTAGCAATCGTGCTGGCGATGGCTCTCTTACCAGCAGCCGCCGAGTGGGAGGCACTGGCCCTAACTGGTTCAATACTGGTGACGCTATGCCTTGGAACCGGCACGCTAATGGCGACACATCACGCGCCGTTGCCGCTGTTCGCTCTTATACTGGTCAGTAAATATTTCATTTTAGCATATTTAATATCAAAGAATATTTTTGATATGGTGATTCTACACAAGTGAACGAATTCAAGGGAAAATTTAATAAGTTATTTAGTTTCGAATTGGACTCAGTTGAACTTACTGAAATAATAACCGTTCAGTAAGAGCCAATAGTTTTTATAAAGAAGTCGATTATAATACCTATACTATACCTACTAAGCGATATAAATAAGAATAGGACTGACTGATATTGTGACGTCATATCAATTTAAACCATTTAGGTAGGGTGAGCAAAACAGGTACTTTTGAAACAATATTTATTTAGGAATAAATACAAAAAAACCGTGAAAGAAAAGTTTTAATACGAGTCTAGTACTTAAATAATTAATTTAAATGTTGGCAAAATGTTGCTAACAATGAAAATAGAAAAATAACAAGATTCAAATTATTTTTTAAAACTAATTATGACTTTAATAAATTTAGTAAGTCTAAGACTCAGTTGAATAAACGTAAAAGTGCAAAATTAATTTTCTATGCAAGCCGTACTTTTCATGTGACAGTTGACAGATCACGGTCATTTGAGGTCATTGACGTTCCTATTCTTATTTGAATCGCATTGTACAGCAAATTAGTGGCATAATTTGCCATTTTGAAAGAAAAACAGATTTCCATCCGATAATGTGGGTATCTGTCTTCAAGGCAAGTGTGAATAGACTTTTTTTAAGCTAAGTCAGTGCGCTTTACCATCTTCAAACAGAAATCAAGGGCTGACTTATAATAAAAAAAAGACAAAAATCATTCATTACAATAATAAGTAACAATTCTTGAATTGTAATTATAATTAGACGTTGCAGAACGTGACGAAATATAAGAGTGACAGAATGACAAATGAGTCGACAGTCTATTTAACATTTTAGGGACTAATGTAAATGAGAAAGTTCAAACAAAGATGACTAAAGGTGCATTTTCGTTTGTTTGAACTTCTGCTGATTGTCATACAATCATATTTATGAGATATTTTTTGATTCAAGAATCACATAATCTTATTGTCAACTGTCTAGTATCTTGATCGATCATCTACTTTTAAAGGTTACAGAAAATTCTTTTGGATTGGAAGCGGCCTGTGCCGATGATTATTAAAGTTTACCAAAACTTATTAACAAATAGCAGTATAAGAGTTACAATAACTACATTTTGTAAATATCATCATCATCATCACAAGTCTACTGCTGAACATAGGCCTCTCGCAAAGAATGCCACAATGCACAGTTTTGAATCCATCTTTACCATGTCGTCACTCTAACTAATAGAGGAACGCCCTACACTTCGTCTGCCGGTACGAGGCTGGCACTTGAAAACCTTTCTTCCCCATCGGTTGTAGGTTCTCGAGTTATATGGCCGGCCCATCGCCACTTCAGCTTAGTAATCCGTTGGGCGATGTCGGTTACACTAGTTCTATTCATTTCTAAGTTTATTACGCAGAGAAACGCCGAGCATAGCCCTCTCCATAGCTCACTGAGCTACCTTGAGCTTCTTCATACAGCCAGCAGTGAAGGACCACGTCTCATATCCACAAGTCATCACTGGCAACACGCACTGGTTGTACAATCTCGTTTACAAGTTCTGAAGTATACCTGACGATATGTATCGTAATCTCCTGAACGCTTCCCAGCCGAGTTGAATACGTAGATTGACCTCACCAAGTCTAAGTTAAACTTTCCTAGTCGGACTATATATCCCAGGTAAAGATATTTGGTCCTGCACCTGATCTCTCTCCGATCATGTCGGATTGTCGTCCCAATGGATTATTAGAGTTAATGGATTAGAGAGTTTACCAGTGTGCGGGGAAATACTCGTGCACCATAATCATGTGATGCGCAAAAAGTCTACGTTGCGATTGGCGGCCGAGACCGGAATTTGGTCTGAAGAACTTTATTATTACCTTTCGAAAACTTGTCTTAACTAAGAAAATAGAGTTTTAGAGTAAACTAGTTTACCAACAAACTTTCTTGCATAAGTGTACACAAAACCATACACGTCACTTCCGTAGAATTGATCCACTCAACTTCAACATCAGTGGAGGCAATTAGCGCGAGAAAAAACACTTCGTTGGAAATTCAATTTCCCGTATAGGGCTCTCCAGTCAACCTAATAACGCGGTCACTTATAAAACCAAATTGATGAGAGCGATTCAAGTGACAGATATGGTGCTCATAGCAGTCATCTGGACGCAAAGGGATAAAATGAAATCACAATATAGAAATAATTTCCTTTTATTTAATTTTTTTTTAAATTCTGAGGTATTCCAAACAAAATGTGTTGCAATTTTCAGAAGGACATCCAGCGAATTTGGATTCGTTGGTTAAACTCTAGTTGCAATGGTACTCTTTTATCGTGGACAAGTTCCCATGGATACCTTTCGCTGCGAGGACAACGGAAACGTCAACACCAGAGTACATTCTTATACGTGGTAGAGCCATGCTGCAGCTATATTACTAGTATAGTTGCAGCACGAATGGTTCGGCTCGACCGGGTAAGGACCACGCTCTCACAGAATACCAGCGTAAAAAGGCAGCTTGACACTGCTGTGTTTCGTATGATGAGTGTAGAGAACCGGAGACACATTTTACTGAAAAACAGGCTTCCATCTGAGGACTAAGAAGACGGGTGTGGCATCTGCATTTTGATTCTTTATTGAGGATAGATGTAGATGTCTATGGGTCACAGCAACAACTTACCATCAGGTGAGCTGTGTGGTCCTTTGTCACCCTATCCTATAAAAAAACAAGAGTGGTCTTGGAATCTCCGATCAGGACGCAAGCGGGGCTTTTCCATCACTTGCTTGGTTCTTGATGCTGGCTATTAGTACGCCCCAGAAGCAGCACTTTGAAGGTACTTTCAGTACTCTTGCAGTATTGCCACATTGTCTCGAGACGATTTCCGAGTCGTCCTTGTAACTGTATTTATTTTTTACTTTGCTCTAGATATTTGTCAACTATTTCGAACATAGTGTAGCTATCATATACCTTTGGAGACCTATATTCAATAGTGGACTTCTGATGGGCTGTAATGATGATGATAATAATGATGATGATGATGATGACAATGACGAAGATGATGATGGCGTGACTTTATAGTACAAATATTTGTAAATAAGCAGGAGTTTTAAGAACACATGCAGTTGTTGATCGGTAATGATAGTTGGAGTTTAATTCTGCGATTTCATCCGTTATCGTTACCGTAACAGCCTATTAAAGTCCACTGCTGAACATAGGCCTCCACTATAGATTGTCTCATAGGGGGGAAATTTGCTATAGTTGCCACGCTTGGCAAGCGGTTCGGCAACCGCAGTTTGTAAGTTTTAGTCGGTATTAGTAAGACGCTGCTACCCGTCTCCTGGTTTGTTTCCCTCTATTGTCTCTTAGAACACCCACGGGATGATGCGGGGTAGTGGATATTCTTACACCACCACTACACGGTATTTCATCAATTATGTACCTATATTTTTAAAAACTGTAGTCAAATAATTGCGGTAAAAGTGGTAAAATTAAAAAGGTTCTACAACCATATTCAAAGAAAAAAAAGTTATTGTTGAATTTTTAAAAGCCGCCTGGAAAGTATACCCTTTATAAAAAAACCGACTAATTGAGATCCTCTTCCTTTTTTGAAATCGGTTGAAAATGTACCGTACCTATTTTAGTTTTAAGACTACTTAGTGTGTACTAATTGATGCAAATCCACATATTATTTACGTTAAATCCTATTTAAACATGGAGTGATCGTGACTGGGCATAGCAATTGAATTAATAATGCAACTTACACAGCTACTGTCGTGTCGCTTGGATATGAAAAATATTATAATTAAAATCTATCCACGTGTTTACTGTTTTATATAATTTGTTTAACTATAACTATAACTTATATCAAAGATGTTAAAAATCAAGTTTTTTGAGCACCCTCGCTCTCCCTCAATTGCGTGCTCTATTCTTATCACCACTAATTCCAACACTACTACACACGAAAAAATACACCACCGTTGATAATACGACACGTGTTTCGCCTCTATACAAGAATGAAATAGATGACACGTGATGATATATATGATGATAGGTAGCTTAACGGTCAGTCATATGTAGTGGTGTTGGGATTAGTAGCACGCAATTAAGAGAGGATGGGAGGTGCTGTTCAAACTAGGTGTCATCATTCATCATCATTACAAGTGAAAGTGAAGTGTGGGTCGATGGATGCAGGTGGCTCAGGACCGTGCTTGGTGACAATTCTAGGGGAAGGTCTATGTTCCAGCAGTGGACTTTAATAGGCTGTAACGGTAACGAACTAACGAAGATTGAAATTTATCGAACGGCAGCCTCGTAATTAAACATCAAGTAAGTGTGAGTGTTCATCCGAGTGGGATGAACACTCACACTCACTCACCATTCATTGAAACATAATCTTACATACATACAAATAAATATGTGTCTGTTTGTAATGTCAAAATAACAGCTTTTTACTAAATGCATATGTAAGTATATACTTTCAGCGTATATACGCCACTTATAACAAGAAGATAACAATTTTTAAAATATTTGTTTGTCTGTCTGTCTGTCTGTTTGTTCTGGATAATCTCCGAAACGGCTGGATCAATTTTGACGGGACTTTCACTGGCAGATCGCTGATGTTATAAGGAGTAACTTAGACTACTAGACAAGCTAGACCATGAAATCCAATCGTAATAAATTCCACTCGAGCAAAGTCGCGAGGAACAGCTTGTGAATGAATACAAAAAAGGTTAATCGAAAATTCAATTTGCAACACGTAGCCTCGTATCGATATAACCACGAGGGAGACATTAAAAATCCTTTTACGGTTTAACTTAATAAAATAGCTTGATCTGAGCCCGGCTTTATAGGTCAAAAGCGTGTTATGTTAAATGCAGTTATAATTAAACTTGTTACCCTTATAAATAAATTTACGGTGTGCATGTTTTTGTAATTCTTCTCCTGAACGGC